TTTAAAAACTTGCCATAGTTTGTTGTGGTCCACACAGTCAAAGGTTTTTGCATAATCAATGAAACAGATGTTTTTCTGAAACTCTCTGGCTTTCTCTATAATCTAGCGCATGTTAGCAATTTGGTCTCTAGTTCCTCTGCCCCTTCAAAATCCAGTTTGTACTTCTGGGAGTCCTCAGTCCATATACTGCTGAAGTCTACCTTGTAGGATTTTGAGCATAACCTTGCTAGCGTTGAAATGAGTGCAATCGTACAGTAGTTGGAGCATTCTTTGACACTGCCCTTCTTTGGGATTGGGATGTAGACTGATCTTTTCCAATCTTCTGGCCACTGCTGAGTTTTCCAAACTTGCTGGCATATTGAGTGTAACACCTTAACAGCATCATCTTTTCAGATTTTAAATAGTTCAACTGGAATGCCATCACCTCCAATGGCCTTGTTGTTATCCATGCTTTCTAAGGCCCACTTGACTTCACTCTCCAGGATGTCTGGCTCAAGGTCAGCAACTACACTATCTGGGTTGTCCGGGACATCCAGATCTTTCTGGTATAATTCCTCTGTTTATTCTTGCCACCTGTTCTTGATGCCTTCTGCTTCTGTTAGGTCCCTACCATTTTTGTCCTTTATCATGTCCATCTTTGCACAAAATGTTCCTTTAATATCTCCAATTTTCTTGAACCTGTACAAATCTCCCATTTGTACAATTGTCCAAAACAGTAGCTGCCACAGCCAAGCTTCTCTATGTGGGTGGCAGGATTGGATTAGTTTATTCTATAGAAAGAATGTTGTAGGGAGCAAAAGCCTGTTTTCTTGCACAAACAAACATATTTACAGGTTGTTAGGCTGTGCAATAAAATTGGTATCACCTAGTATTAAAAGCATAACACACAGTAATAAGGCAGCCAGTGGTGGCGCTGTGGGCTAAACCGCAGAAGCCTATGCTGCAGGGTCAGAAGACCAAGCAGTCGTAAGATCGAATCCACGCAACGGAGTGAGCGCCTGTCACTTGTCCCAGCTCCCGCCAACCTAGCGGTTCGAAAGCATGCAAATGCAAGTAGATAAATAGGGACCACTTCGGTGGGAAGGTAACAGTGTTCCGTGTCTAAGTCGCACTGGCCATGTGACCACGGAAGATTGTCTACGGACAAACGCTGGCTCTATGGCTTGGAAACGGGGATGAGCACCGCCCCCTAGAGTCGAACACGACTGGACAAAAATTGTCAAGGGGAACCTTTACCTTTACCTTTAGTACAATATTCATCTACTTTTCAATCCTTCTGAAAAGTTTTTTCCTCTTGTGCACAAAATGGTTGGCAAACATGATACCACAATGAGAGTCCAAACAGATGCTTTACTTCACATTTCTTTAAAAGAAAAACACTTGCATTCCCTGAGTATCATGTTTAAGTACAGCCAAACAAAGTTGGTGTTTAATTCCCGACCAATCATAAAACACACAGAGCTACTTAGCAAGTTCTGGTAGAAACCACTGTGGGCTAATGATTAGTTGGCTATTAACATCTAAGAGACTGCTACTTCCAATAATGAGCTTTCTATAGTATCTAGTTTAGTACCTTAACTCAAATTTGGTTGAGAACCACTGTGGGCTAATGATTAGTTGGCTAGTAACATCTAAGAAACTGCTACTTCCAATAACAAGCTTTCTATAGTTCAGTGGTGCCTCGCTTAACGAGCGCACCGTACAACGATGAAATCGCATAGCGATCCCTTTTTTGGGATCGCTAATGCGATCGCTCAACATTGTTTAGATAGGGCGAAACTCACTTTGGGAAGATCGGCAAGGGTTTCGCTTACTGATCTTCGCAAAACGAAGCCCCGACGATCAGCTGTTCGGTGGACAAAATGGCCGCCAGAAGCCCCAAAATGGCCACGTGCAGCGTTTTTGCGCCCTCCCCTCGCTTAATGAGGGCGCAAAAATGGCTGCCAGCCATAGGAAGCATCGCTGAACGGTGAGTTTTCGGCCCATTTGGAACACATTAAACGATGGGTGTTTTTGATCCGTTCAGCGATGTTTCGCTATAGCGAAGGTTAATCCGGAACGGATTAACCTCGCTATGCGAGGCACCACTGTATCTAGTTTAGTACCTTAATTCTAATTTGGTTGAATTGGGCACCGCCAAGTGAAAACACTCCAGAGACCAGACTTCATACATGCAGAAGAGTTCATATAGTTATCTCTGATTTCTGTACTTGTTGTGTACGCACAGAAACCTCAAACTGCGGTAGATAATTTATAAATACTGTCCAGGAAATCTCTTTACATTATTATGCATCTTTCTTTCCATAGAGACTTCTCTGCAGTTGTATCAACATGCAATCAAACTATCTGCTTTGCTTGCACACACCGATGCATGCGCTTGAGGAGTTAACCCAGCTGGTTGCAGATCTAGTGAGGACCCAAAAGGAGTTTGTTAACACTTTGAATCAGGCTGAGAAAGTAAAGACTAAGTGCAGAGAGCAGAAGGTGCAGGAGCTGCAAGAAGGAGCTGCTGAGACCAATAACTGACATTATGCATCTTTCTTTCCATAGAGACTTCTCTGCAGTTGTATCAACATGCAATCAAACTATCTGCTTTGCTTGCACTTATCACCTCCTACTGCATCTTATTTCTGATCTTTTCACCCCCAGAATGTATTAACATTCAATATGACTTCCATCTACAAAAGAATCCATGTTATATTTGAAGTATCTAAAATTTACAGAAAAATTCAGACATGTAGCATCCCAAATTACTCTACAAAGGAGTGTCCAGGTTCTGACAGCCTGCGTCACCGATGATGTTCCAAAGGCCACCAGTTCAACACAGACGCACAGACACCATCTGTAAATTCAAAAGCTGGCTGAGAGCACACATGCACAGCTACCTCCTCTGTGACACTATTACTCACATGAGGCGCTCTTCCAGAATTTCCAGTGAAGCCAGCATCTGAAATTCCTTTTTTGAGTATTCAGTCATCCACTGGCTGGCATACAATTCCCTCTAGAATAAGAAAAGCAAAAACCTTGTTTATGGGCATGAAAAGGGAATCAATCATTATGCTACTTTCTATTAGGTGTAAAAATGCTTGACCCTGTCTTGCTTTGACAAGCCTACAGAGCTTGTTGGCCAGAGAAGTTAAGGCTTTTGTTTTTGAGACCAGAAGAACAGCACAGCCCAAATTGAAACTGTGCCTTGGCTCAGTGAGCTGAATGTCTCATACCAGTTTTAAACACAATTAGAACAAGCGTTATACAGTGGACCCTTGACTTACAGAATTAATCCGTATTGGAACAGTGGCTGCAGGTCAAAAAGTCTGTAGGTCAAGTCTCCATTGACCTACAGTGAATGGAAAACCGATTAATCCCGTAACAGGCCGTTTTTGTTCCATTTTGGTTTTTTTCTGGTCTGTAAGTCAATTCTCAGGCTGCAAGTCAAACCTAAATTTTGCGGCCAGAGAAGTCTGTAACTCAAAAAGTCTGTAAGTCAAGCCGTCTGTAAGTCAAGGGTCCACTGTAGTTAAATGCAATCTTTCTTTCTATTGCCTGCCTATGCTTCTTGTATGAAGATAGGTACCTTTTTATCTCAGGCGAATGTCTGGAAGATGAGCAGCTATATTATTTCCGTTCAAGGTGTATAAAAGATGACCAAGACTGCTGACTCCTGTTCCAGGAGGGGTGAGGAAATTTTTGAAATGAACTCTGAATAATAATGCTATACTTCTTTTCAGCTGTTTTTATTTTTTGGTTATGATTTTTCATTTGTTTGTTTTTTAACCAAAAAGCGTACATTGTCTAACCTTGGCATGAAAAGCAAGTGGATCATAACCAGGTGTTTCTATACAACATGGTAACACAAGCTATGTTTTCTGTCTGCCGCTCGTCTTCATGTCTGGCTGCATTAATTTGTTGTCCAGCCAATCTGTGTACTTCTGCACAAAACATAATTGTTAATTGTCTGTGCTATTCTGACAAGATGTTAAAGAAAATGAATGAAATGGGCCCATACTGACTAGGTAGTTATATATTCTCAAAGGAAGTGGAATGCTGTCCCAGTGCTGAATGTAACCTGTGGTCAGCCTCTATAAGGACCAAATTTGATTGGGATGTCAATATTCTTTTTCTGAATCCAGTAATATGATCCAGCTTCCTTGATGTCAGAGAAATGGAAGAAGGCTTTTCATGTGACTGTCTAGCTGCATCTAGTAATGATGGCTGTGATTATATTAAAGGAGAGTGGGACGTAGTCATTGAGGATGAGAGAAAATGGAGTCTGTTAGGTTCTAAGAAAGAGGATTTAAAAGACATGGGAATGTGGTAAAGGATGAGAAGTTGTTTTTCCTAATTTAGAGCTGGGCTGGTACAGTGAGATCCAGATAACAGTCAAGGCCAGACCAAGAGGCCCCAAGCTGGTAAAAACAACATTCCAAAGCTAATGAAGAAGACATAACATTTGGGATCCATCATGAGAAATCTGGGAGGAGAATGGTGCTATGCTTCTTTGAGGTTAATTGGTGTAATACTGAGAGGAGGAGGAGGGGGGGAGATATGAAGAATGTAGAAAAAGATGGGGGATAGAGGGAGAAAAGAGCTTGTCTTTTTGGAAGGTTTTGGGAGAGGAAAATTTTTACAGAATGTAGATGGAGTAGAAAAGAAGGAGGGGGAAGGCCCCCTTTGCTATACTTAGATTTAGCTTTTTCTTATGTTAATTAGGATTAGTAATTCCAGGTAACTACAAGCCTAGGGCTATGTTTTACTGCAATAAAGATATGCTTTATTGCAAATCTAAAAACTGTTTTCTAAAAATCTTAATTTTCTTAATAAAAATAAGTTTAAAGACAATTAGAAGAGTTGATCTCTTAGAACAGCAAGGCTATACTAAATCCAGAAGGGAGAAATGGTGGCTAGCTTGCTACCATTGAAGAGTCATGTCTAGTCCTACCTGGCAAGGTTGTTGTGAGGTCTTAGGAATCACAAAACCTATGCTTAAGTACTGTGAAAGTAAAGTAAACTTTGTTGGCCAGGCTTGCCCATGGTTGCAAATGCTATGCACTGCTGGAGTTTGAGTACTAACTTCAGTAAAAAAGTGATAGATTTGTGATCAACAGTGGCTCCCTGCCCACACTTTAGAGGTTCCTTACAGAGCTCTATTGTGACAATGGCAACACTGAACTTCATACTAGAGCAGCAATCTATTCCTGTACTTTTAATGAAACATCAGTAATCTTCTTATCAAAGGCTTGATACTCCAGTTCTAAAGCTGCTGTCATCCACACTAACTAATCATTAAATGACTTAACATCCTCTTTTTTGAGAGAGATGGTAGAGTGTCAGCTAGAATATCTGGAAATGATTATAGTAGTTATTGAAATGTTATTATAGTCAGTTCATAGATGTAGCCCTCTAGCTCAGAGGAAGCAAAGTTGTCATCATTCTCTTCACTTCTGATGTTAACAGCTGAACTTTTTAATTGAAGGGAATGAAAAAGCATGATAGCAAAATATCTGCCTGAGGTGCCATCAGATGAAAATTAAGGCCAATACAGGTTGTAGTGACTCTGTAGGAGAACCACAGATGGATCCATATGCTGTCTAATGGATATAATTTTAGTCTCCGAAGGCAATGTGATTGATATTTTCACTTGTTGTGATAGGGGATGAAATACTGTCAATGCGACTACATGTCAAAGTCTCCTGTAAGAGAGTGGCAGAAATCTGCCACTTAGTATCATGTCTCTTATTACTTCCTGTCTCTCAGAGACTACTGTGGATCACCACAAAAGTGGTGAGGGTCTCTATTGACAGGACACAGATCAATGTTGTCCAGTTGATAATGGTAATCTAGACTCTGTACAATCATAGCATGGGGAGGAATGTAAATCCCAGGCTGATCTGGGAAAGTGAGTTTGCAACTACATTGGCAAGCTATGCTTGATTCACAGCTATTTTACAGTTCTGCTGGATGAGGTGATCACACAGAGATTGTGGCTTGTTTTAGAACCGATGCATACACAGTGATGTGGCTTGAGTCATGCTATAGCCCACAGTCTCCTTTCTTTGGTCTCATCCTCTGTCAATTCCCGGCTTTTCTTTTGATTCATTGTAAAACTGGTGGGATATTTAAAGTGTTGCATAATGCTAGGGGAAAGGGACAGTTTTCCAGAATTATCCATAATGTACAAACACATACATACCATGGAAACATAGTGGTCTTCCGTAGTTTGTCCGAGCTTTTTCTATTTCATATTGATTATTATCTCTCTTTTTTTGGTCTGTGTAGAAGTGATCTAGCATTAAACTAGTATATTGATTAATTGATACAGTGATATAGCACTAAACTTGGTAGTTTGTTTTTTAAAATTATTTCTGAATGATTAAGGGAGAAAAATCATGGGTCTGTTTGTGTTCAAAATATGCCCAGCTTAATGCATCAAGTGATAGATTTGTGATCAATGTGGTGGCGCTGCGAGTTAAACCACAGAAGCCTCTGTGCTGCAAGGTCGGACGACCAGCAGTCATAAGATCAAATCCACACAACGGAATGAGCTCCCATCGCTTCTCCCAGCTCCTGCCAACCTAGCAGTTCGAAAGCATGCAAATGCGAGTAGATAAATAGGTACCATCACGGTGGGAAGGTAACGGCATTCTGTGTCTAGTCGCACTGGCCACGTGACGACGGAAACTGTCTTTGGACAAATGCTGACTCTACGGCTTGGAAACGGCGATGAGCACCGCATCCTAGAGTTGGACACAACTGGACAAATTGTCAAGGGGAACCTTTACCTTTACCTTAGAATACCACCATCCGTTTTGAAAACAAAACAAGATCACATGGGGAAAGACCATTTGAATCATTCTAGCATGAAAAAATAGAAGCCACCAGCAGCAAAGAAAAAACCTCCACATTTGAATTAGTGTGATGAGTTTTTCCTGTATTTTGCAATCTGAACATGAGCCTGTGGGGACAATACATAAAATTAGCCTCTTAAACTTACAGCTCATCTTCTCTGAATGGGAGTTGGTACCAAGCTAATCTGATCTCATTTTTTGATCAGGTAACTTCTCTGATAGAGGGGATGCTGTACATAGTATATCTTGACTTAAGCAAAGCTTTTGACAAATTCCCCCACAATATTCTGATTAGCAAGCTAACTAGGTGTGGGCTGGCTAGAACAACTGCCAGGTGGATACACATTTGACTACAGAATCACAACCAAAGAGGTGGTGATTAATGGCTCCTTCTCAAACTGGGAGAAAGAAAAAGGGACGGTACCCCAGGGTTCAGTTCTGGGCCAAGTGCTCTTTGACATTTTTATTAGCTCTAGAAGGTTCCAAACATGCTTACTGCAATAAAATCCCAAATGTATACATCACAGAAACCATGAAGATGAATTATACATACATACCCCTGAGACAGTGACTTCTTCTGCCTTCAACAGCTTGACATGGATGTTAGCATCGTCACCTATATATCTGACTGGGCAAGTGATCTCAGCTCTCTCCTCCTGCTCATCAGTGGTGGTGCCGGACAGAGGTGACATTTTCTGCAAGAGAAAGGGAAGAAGCAAGCGATATAACACTGTTCCTTCTTCATCCAGGAAACCCAAATTCCTTACTGAAGAAACTCAGATCACGAATCTGTGAATAAAGGAAATCAACACATACTTTCCTGATTTTTGTATTCCATATAAAACCCAAATTCTCAGTTATAGTTCAGAGCCTCCCAGTCCGTGTGTGTGTGTGTGTGTGTGTGTGTGTGTGTGTGTGTGTGTGTGTGTGTGTTCAGAAGAGCTTGCAGAAGCCTCTCAACAATTGGAACTCAAAGAAAGGTTTGCCGCTGCTGAAGAATGGGAAATGGGAATTGATTACTGTTTCCCAGGAATCGGCATACTATGGGCTGATTCATTTTACTGAAATAATCAAGCCCTCATATGAGAAGCACTTCCCCAACTCTCTGTGTTATAACTCTGTCAGTCTCAGCGGGGGGAAGTTTCTTCTTTCTTTCTTTTTAAGCATTTTCTAGAATTCCCTAATGAGCATGGCCATCAATCCTGCTAGCTGAGAAAAGAACTCTACTTTTCTACTCAGACAAGTACAATTTTAAAACTCTATGTAGCATCCATGTGTCTTCAAACTACCATCCACAATCATGAGGGGTAGTAATAAATTTCTTCTATTTATAATATCATGTCATTTAGGGATGTTAGATTTTTTTAAAAAAAATTATTTTTATAACACACTCATGTCATTTAGGGATGTTAGATTTTTTTTAAAAAATTTATTTTTATAACACACACATACATACAAAACAAACAAAAACATATAAAACAAACAAAATCATATAGAACAAAACAAAAACATATGAGCTGGGAAGTATTTCACATTCAGTCTTATCCATTATATGATTCTGACTATATCAAACCTTATTGCCTTTCTCCCATACTAAACCATACTATATCCATATGTATCTATGCATATTATATTTCATATCAATATTTCAGATATTTAGTTCAATATCTAGCATCCTAAATTTATAGTAATTATTATAAATTCTTTCTCCTGCATTACATCTATCCAATTATATAGCAGAGTATCATACTTTACAATAATCAAAAATCAACATTTCTAAAGACAAAAAGATATATATGTCTAACCTTATCTATGTAATCATATTAAAATTCACATATGTTTAATATCTTTATATGAGTGCCTTAGAGTCAATAACATCTAGTATTATATTCATCATAAACATTTCTAAATTCATAATTAAATGTGCTTGTCTACCATTAAAATCCAAACATGACCAGAATGGCTTGTAAGTATATTAACCATATTAAAGTATGTATATACTGTATATATGTGCCTCTCAAACCAATGATTTCTATTGTTATGTTCAGCAAGTAACTTTCCCCATTTTCAATTGTGCTTATTAGCTCCGTATATAGACTAGGAATTCCAAATTCCTTACATTATCATAAATCTGAAATTAGTCTCTTGCCTCCTTTTTACCAGTTTTAAAATGCCATCTATAAAATTTCTTTAGACCATTTTCTCTCTGGTTTACCAATTTTATCCCAGTATAATTAATGTCCTGCCTTTGGAGCCATTCATATATGTCTAATCTATGGTCAGATATTTGTCCCCCATCCAGCTTCGCTCTCACATATTCCTCCTCCTTTACATTATTTCCCATCAGAATAATCTTAATGTACTTTCCCCACTCATCCACCTGCCCCTCCCTTTCATACAGATTTATTTTTTTACTCTCCTTTTTCAAAATTTCATCCTGCTTTCTAAGAAAAACGGTCTCTCTCTAATGATGCTGCTTCTTTGGTCGGTTGGTCTTTGGTCTTTCTGTTCTCCCCCCCCCCCCCACGGGCATATGATCCAGAAAATATTGCCTTAACTTCTGAGATCCTTAAATCTGTTCTTCACTTCCACTGTGTATTCATAAGGGATGTGGTTTAGATTATACCTGACTAATCCAGTGGTTTTTCCTACTTTCTTCAGTTTAAGCTTGAATTTTGCTATGAGAAGCTGATGATCAGAGCCACAATCAGCTCCAGGTCTTGTTTTGCTGACTGTATAGAGCTTCAAAATCTTTGGCTGCAGAGAATATAATCAATCTGATTTCGATATTGCCCATCTGGTGATTTCCATGTGTAGAGTCGCCTCTTGTGTTGCTGGAAGAGAGTGTTTGTGATGACCAGCTTGTTCCCTTGGCAAAACTCTATTAGGCTTTGCCCTTCTTCATTTCGAACTCCTAGGCCAAACTTCCCTGTTGTTCCTTTTATCTCTTGACTCCCTACTTTAGCATTCCAATCCCCTAGAATAAGAACATCTTTCTTTGGTGTCAGTTCTAGAAGGTGTTGTAAATCTTCATAAAATTGGTCAATTTCAGTCTCCTCAGCATTGGTGGTTGGTGCATAAACTTGGATTATTGTGATGTTGAAATGTCTGCCTTGGATTCGTATTGACATAATTCTATCATTTTTGAGATTGTATCCCAGTACAGCTTTTCCTACTCTTTTGTTGACTATGAGGGCTACTCCATTCCTTCTACGGGATGCTTGCCCACAGTAGTAGATATGATAATCATCTGAAATGAATTCGCCCATTCCTGTCCCACAGGGACAGGTCTGAGCAGAGCCCGGCGGTGTTACTGGGTGGGAGAGGAAGGAGGCGCCCCCGGGGGTAGGTGAGAGAACCTGAGCTCAGGAACCGGCAGAGTCCTCCCTCCGTGCCCAACCGTGGGGGAAGGAACCGCACTGGGCTCGCCGGAGGCACAGACCTGCCTCGACCCGTCCAGAAGCCGCCCGTGTCGCAGGCACGTTCACCCGGTCGCCACCTCTGGCTTGCCTGGCTTGTCTCTGCAACCCTTCATGGTCCTCTCCTGGGTAGCGGCTCCCTGAGCCTGGAAGCTCATCTCCTCTCCCCGATGTCGGGTCCGCGTAGTGCTCTGCAGGCCTGGTGCCGCCGCCAATGTGAGGGCTACTCCAGTGTGGAGGTCCGAGACTTCAGCAGCTCCTTCTGAGATGGCCTGGCCTTTTGCCCCATCCTCCATAGGAGAAGGCTCCCTCTGATGTTGGGGGGAAAGCCCTTTGAGACCTCCGGAGGCAAAAAAGCAGGGGGAAAGGATGGGAAATTTCCAGCCCTTTCAGCCTGCCTTTTTGCCTTTGGAGGTCTGCAAGGGCTCCCTCTGATGTCAGGGGAAAGCCCTTTGAGATCTCGTGGGTGTCTAATTGCAGTGGCGGGTGACCCCCAGGAGGTCTCCGATGGATTGAAGAAAAAAAAACACCCCCCCCAAAAAAACACTGCAAGTCCCACGCTGGGACTGCAAAAAAAAACACACACACACCAAAAAACAAAACAACACAGAAGCATAACCTTCCCAGCCCAAACCTACCCTCCAAAACCCACCCAGATCAACTTTTTAAAAAGGAAAAAGCAGAACCTTATCTCCATTGCCACACCTTCGGTGGTGCTTACTCGTGAGTAGACTCACACTTTCTGCATCACTTACTCATGAGTAGACCCGTGCCAGAGATGGGAAGGGAATGCTTCCTCCTCTTGCTCGGTAGAAGTAAAAAAGTTCCCTGACCCCCTGCTCTAACCGTTGGGGCAAAAGAGCTACAAAGTAGCAGCCTCCTTGCCACCAACAGTTTGAATTTCCCGCCCTTTTTTCATTCGTAGGTTGAAGCTCCGTTCGCAAGTCAATACAGATTTTTGCGGACGGAGCTGTTCATAATTCGAAATGTTCGTAACTAGGGACGTTCGTAAGTCGAGGTTTGACTGTATAGTATATCAATTTTTCCACTCGTTGGAGGACATGGGTTGAGAGAGGGAAGTCTCCATTAATGTCTTTAGCTAGTTTCATTTTCCATTTCTCTCATACGTGACACAGTAAAAAATTTCCAATATTTCAGGGTTGCAAAGTTCTATGCCGCTTTAAGATTAGTCTTTCTCCTTGACATCAGCCCCCCCAAAAGTTTGATTTATACTTGCTGAAGCTGAATAGAACTTCATTTAATCCCTGTTCATGCAGTCAGATCATAAATCTTCATACCTCCCCTCTCTCTGAGCAGCCATGATGGTGTCTTCTCAAGTCAGTTGCTTTAGGAGGGAAATTCTCACAAAAACAGATTGCAGGGTTTAGCTAGTTTCATTTTCCATTTCTCTCATACGTGACACAGTAAAAAATTTCCAATATTTCAGGGTTGCAAAGTTCTATGCCGCTTTAAGATTAGTCTTTCTCCTTGACATCAGCCCCCCCCAAAAGTTTGATTTATACTTGCTGAAGCTGAATAGAACTTCATTTAATCCCTGTTCATGCAGTCAGATCATAAATCTTCATACCTCCCCTCTCTCTGAGCAGCCATGATGGTGTCTTCTCAAGTCAGTTGCTTTAGGAGGGAAATTCTCACAAAAACAGATTGCAGGGCTGAAATTCAGAGGTTTCCAAGCCCTACTTGCTGCAAGTCCACTATCCTGTGGAAAACTTGCCTCCCTTCTCCTGAGAGGGTTTGCTGACTCAAAGTAAAACCCAGGGGTTCCCAGAGCCCTAGGAATTCCCCTGTTCTTGCTGCCCATTGCTCCCCCCCCCCCCCCGGGATATTAGGTTTGAGCCAGATATCAAACAGCAGCTTATATACACCACACCACATGAGACATGCAGCAAGAAACAGAGACAATTCTATTCACTAACAGTCTCACCTCTGATTCCACCAGTTCCCTATTTTGCACTGCTTTCATAGATATGGTTTCTGTATCTTTCTTGTCTTCCTCTGGAGCCATTTCTGTCTGAATGAGGCTCAAGCTTTGTAGGTCAAGCTCAGGGTGAGGTGGCAGCTGTTTTTTGGGCTGAAGCACCTGTGAAGTAGCCCAAAAAGGTTGGTCACCACATTTCTTATTGTGAGCTGGTCACAGTGATAGGCCTTCCAGTAGCATCTCCCATGACCAATTTGCAGCCCTTTTAAAACACAAAGTGGAGACCATCCGCCAGGACCTGGATCTCTCCTCTTTATCAGTAAGTCAAATCGAGATGTCCTCTGTATCGTCTTGCCTGGTGACTTTAACACAGTTTCAGCCTGTGACATCAGTTGAGGTTGACAGGGTGCTTGACTGCTGTAGGGCCACCACCTCTTCACTAGACCTTTGCCTGGCCTTGCTCTTGAAAGCAGCCAGACCGTTAATAACAGAATGGGCAGAGGCTATTATCAATGGATCTCTCCTTAAGGGCAGGGCCCCTTTGCCATCAAGGAGACCCTCACTGAGCCAATTCTGAAAAAGGCCAATTTGGCAGTCATCTCCCAATGCTATTCAACATCTTTATGAGGCCACTGGGGGCTGTCTATGGAATCCCAGATAGCATTGCTGATCTGCTCTGCCTATTTCCATCTAAGGCAGATTGCCCATCTGCGGCCCTGCCTTGACACTGGGTCCCTCACCACACTAGTTCATGCATTGGTAGTCTTGAGATTAGACTACTGCAATGTTCTCTCTGTGGGACTGCCCCTGGGGTAGTCTTCAGAGTGAGAGAGAGACTTCAATAGGTTCAGAACTCTGCAGCCAGGTTGCTGATTGGGGTCAGGAAATACCAACGTATCTCCCCACCTTGGCCACCTTACACTGGTTACCTCTTTGCATCCGTACAAGCTTCAAGGTGATGGTGCTAACCTATAAGGCCCAAACAGTTTAGGACCTCAATACCTGGCAGAGCACCTCCTTCCAATTAGATCTGACCATCTGGTGAGATTGTCACAGGCAGGGTGGTTGAGAGGTCTGACCCGAGAGAGGCCTGAAAAGTGACTACGAGAAACCAGGCCTTCTTGGCAGTTGCCCCACGACTATGGAACAGTCTCCTGCCCGAAATCCACTTAATCTCATCATTGGGAACCTTTAAAATGCTATTAAAATCCTAGCTATTCAGACAGACCCTCTGGGATCTTATAACATGATACAATAGTACCTTAATACTTAAACATCCAACCTACCACCATGTTTTTATTTTTGTTTTTATTTTTATTCTATTCTATCTTCATTTTATTTTATTTTAAGATGTTTTACGGTGTTCCTTATTGTTACTTATTTGTATTTCTTATATTTTATTTGGTAGCTGTTCTATATCTTGCTCTTCTGTCATTGTCGTTGTTTATATTGTTGTAAACTGCCCC